ATTCATACCACTTGCATTTCTTTTCATTAATGAAGCAATTGTTTCAGACCTCATACGCTCATATTTTCAAGTGGATGAGTTGATTAGGGAAAACCTGGATCAATCAAAATCATTTTACAAATCTCTCTTTCCCTCCAGGTACTGGTTATGGTGCACCACAAAAGCCTACATTGGTGGCTTTGCTAAAGAAGTCTATAAAAGGTTGCGCATGTACCAGGTGAACTTCATAGCACTACAGAGAAAGAAAGATCCAGAGCAAGTCTTGCTGCAGTGTCTCCCAAAGCACAAGGTGGGTGTTTGTATGTGTGTATGAACACATGCCTGCACACACCCACAAACACAGATGAATGTACATGCCTACATCATAGGAAATATGGCTTGTATTCTGCAAACAGTATTCTGCAAACAGAGTTGTTCCTAGTAACCACTAAAAATCCAATTCTAGCAACAGTGAGGAATATAGCTATTTTTGGGCAACTTTTTCTTCATTTATAGCTGCACTTGGCCTTTAAGCTGTGTGTCTGGAGCCAGACTTTAAAAAATAATATATACCAGGACAAGACTAAATTCAGTTGTAATTACATGCTGTGTATAATAGTTCATGGAAGATAAGCAGATCTTTTGGAGTTTAAACAGGAGACCATAACTGCTCCAAAAAACTCCAGTTCGAGGGAACGATTTGCAGGTTTCAGTACATTTTAGAAGAGGTAAGATTAGTAAGTATGGAGGGAGGAGAGGAAACTTTGGCTGATGAAATCTATTAGATGCTGCAGCATTGGATGTGTGAGTATTAGAATTATGCATGTTCCAAAAATTGTTTCGACTTTCTATGAGCACATACCTTTCTGCTGTTCATTAGATCAGCCTCCATTGCGTTGACTCTTAAAGCACAGACATATTTTCTTTCAGTCTTGCACGGAATTGTTATTAGTTATGTGAGACTCTATAATTAAAGATACAGAGGCAGCTCATATCAAATTTATTGCATTTAAGCAGATCTTTAGGAGCTTTGTTCCTTGGAAACTTGAATCCTCCCATTGAAAAGGTACAAGGATAAAGTAAAGGAATGAGGACTGCAAAAATAATATTCCAATTTCTTTATTCCTTTCTGATGGTCTTGTAGGTGGATCCTGTTTTGAAAAAGCTCCATGACCGATATCGAGGCCCTGAGCCATCTGATATTGTAGAGATGTTTGAAGGAGAACAGTTCTTTGCAGCTTTTGAACGAGGCATCAGCATTGATGCAGGTGAAATGTCAATCAGCTTGCCTGTATTTATGCAGGTGTTTCCCCATGACCCAAGTTTAGCCCTGCAATTCCAAATCCGCTCATTTTAAGAGTATATCCAAAAGGCAGCATCGGTCGCACAGGCGGAACCTGGATGCATCTTAAGCCCAAATTACACGGTATCATAGTGAGGTCTATAATATGTGCAAAGCAGGAAATGTGAAGTTCTCCTGCATCTGACTGTAGAAGTCCCTCCTCTGCCCTGGGGCTATTTCCTAATTTCTAGTTTAACCATACTGAGGAAATTCCTTTTCTGAATTTCCCAAGAAAAGATGCAGCTGCTTTCAGCTATTGCAGCTGGATGTTATATATGCACTCTCAGGTGCTTGAAAGGAGATCAAAGGCAGAGTCCTAGGATGCAGGGCCCATTAAATTAATGTAAAAAGGCCTTTAACTGACAGTGGCTCTCTTTGCCTCCTTAACAGGATCCTTAAAGTGATCATTTGAGGAGTGAATGTGGGATCCTTTGTATCCAAACCATGTGGTTTACCAATGAATGGCAAAATTTACAACTCACTTTGAGTCTGAGGATGGGAAAAAGGAAAGTTAAAATGACTTAGTTCCAAAACTTGGTTTCTGGTTGGGATAAAGGTGTCTAAAAGAAGCTTAGTCTTCCGAACTGCCTTCCCAAACCTGGTGCAATGGCAGCTGAGAATTTCAGAAGTTGTGTTCCACCCCATTTGGAGAACCTAGCTGCAGGGAGCTATTTTATAAAATTGTGATTTAAGCCAATCCAATAAAGCTGTTTTCTCAAACTTATTTCAGACCGCCCAGACTGCGTTGATGGAAGGATTTCGTTCAATTTTTTCTCTCATTTGAAAAATGTGAAGGAAGTCTACATTACCTCTGAAGTGGACAGAAAAAGCAAGGCTGTGAAAGGGCAGGTACATATGTTTCTCCTCCTGTCCAGAGTAAAACTTCCCATAACAGTTTGTACCTTAATCAATGTATATTAGCAAATGAGTTCCTTTTCCTCATTGTGTCTAAATTCAATGACATAGCTATTTATCTTCTCTGATTCCATAATTCAAAAGATGTGTGTATACATTTGATTATAATAAATGCTATTCCCAATTATTTTTGCAGAATGTACTTCATGGATGGCTGATGTTCACAGTTTAACCCTAAGTCACCATACCTCAGGGTTTTTTTAAAGTATCTTTTTAAGGAGATATGTTCCAACTGTGCAGGTTTTGTGTCAAAAATTCTACAGCCTGGGATGCTGTCTTCTGGTTCTCAGTAATATTATTACTTTCTCTTGTATACCAGATAGCTTCATTCCTTCAAATATTAAATAGCTGTAAAACCTCAGATCTTGCGTACATGCAGAATTGATGGGGTACATTTGCTAAGCAAGCCCTTTTGAGCTACTTGGCAGACTATAACTAGCTTTACACATTGCAGTGATCATAACTTGGTTTGTTTGCTTTTGGCTTCATGTCTGCATGAACACAGCTGATTACCGCTTATTCAGTCAAGCACAGTAAGCAAATTGTGGCTGATGTGTGAACCTTGTCTTTATATTTGATATACTGTATATGTATTTAACTTTTTCTAAATAAGGAAGTAGATATAGATTTAGTTGCATCATTATGCATAGATAGAACTAGAACTTACAAATTCACAGTTTGCAGGGGCAAAAGAAGAGAGCCAGTTTGGTGTAGTGGTTAAGGCACCAGGATAGAAACCAGGAGACCATGAGTTCTAGTCACACCTTAGACACAAAACCAGCTGGGTGATCTTGGGCCAGTCACTCTCTCTCAGCCCTAGGAAGCAGGCAATGGCAAACCACTTCTGAAAAACCTTGCCAAGAAAACTGCAAGGGTGACTCGAAGGTACAAAAACAGAGGGGGCAAAAGAATGAGCGTAGCAAATCCCAGGTAACCAAGAACATAGCAATAATCCTCAACAGAACAGCCTTCTATTGGTTTGCTAGTAAGCAAGGAATAATATGACAGGCTGGGCGATTTGCTTTGCACTTATCTGATGCTTCACATGGCACTGAGAATGCAGATTACACAAGGAACCTCTGTAAATAAATGCATAAGTAAGTAACCTCCCAAATGATAGAACACCAAAGTCTCAGCCAGCTGTGGTTCTTGCAAACCTGCCTAAAGCTGATCTCTTTTTGAAGGTTTCCTTTTATCGAGGAGCTGTTCCTGAGAACATTCCTGAAGAGATTGCAAGGAGGAGGAAGGGTCCCGACTCTCATTGGCTAGCCACATTACCAATCAAGTTGCCTGTAAGTGCTGTACTCTTCACAGAGAAAAATAGATAAATGCGGCAGCTTGGATTGCTCTTCTTTTTTCCCCAGCCTTGCTGGCTGGATTGGATCAGAAAGTGTCTTGCATGGACCGCTTTTGCTTATGTAAGGTAGTCACCCTACATCTTGCTGGTTTTCCAGTCCCCTTCTTGACCCTTGAGACCAAGTGTAGCACTCCTCTTATGTAGCAGGAGGGAAGAGTGGAAAGGAGAGCCCTGCTACGTAAGAGGAGTGCTACACTCACTTCTCTGCATTCAGCCCTGGATCTGCTTCATTGCTTCAGATTGGCCTGTGTAAATTCATTGGAACAAGGCCAGCAAGGAAGGCAGCAACCCCAATGGTGTGCAAGTGACATGGAGCAAAAGGCATCTGATACTGTGGCAGAACCAGCTTGGTCAAGATTAACCAAGCAGAAAAAAGGGAGAGTTCTCTATATATTTTGAAAGGATGAGAGGAGGTGCAGTTCTGTTAAGCAGTGGATGTTTATCATATTATATTTATACAGGTAGTCCTTGACTTACAACCATTTGTTTAACAACCGTTTGAAGTTACAGCAGCACTGAAAAAGTGACCTGTGGCCAGTCCTCGCACTTACAACCATCACACCATTCCCCACGATCACATGATCAAAATTCAGGCGCTTGGCAACCGTCGTGTATTTACAATGGTTGCAGCATCCCAGGGTTGTAGAACTGTCATTTGCAACCTTCCCAGGAGATTTCCAACAAGCAAAGTCAATTGGGGAAGCCAGATATGCTTAACGATCGTGGCAAAAACGGTTGTAAAATCAGGCGTGACTCACTTAACGACCACATTGCTTAGCGATGGAAGTTCCAGTTCCAATTGTGGTAGTAAGTTGAGGACCACCTGTATTCCTGCAATATCCCAGCCAGATAAAGCTACAGCCAGCCAGATAAAGCTATTTTTCTGAGAAGTATGTACAGTTCAATGCTAACTTTTTGATGCCAGATCCTTGATACTTATCAAGAGCACCCTCGCTGTTAAGACACAGTACAGATTGTCTGGAGAATATGCTCATCTGATTTCTATGTCTAGTTGGCACATTGTTATAGTGGTGCCTGTTGGACTGCACAGCTAAATCTCACATTCATATTATTTCTCCAGCCTGGCCTGCCATTTTTCTGCTGGGGTCCAGCAGAGAAAATGTTAGTTACTCACACAGCCATGTGAAACAAGCAAGCAGATAATTCAATCTTATGCGGTTACTCTTTCATGAAATATCTTTTTAATCATGATGATGGCATTAGTGAACAGTGTATCAGAGAGAATATAGAATTATTGGTTGATTGTTTTAATAATTGCTGATTTTTAAAGACATTGTAGTGAAACAGAAAAGGGCTTTCCTGTTTTAGTGATTTGTACTTACATTTGTATTGTTTGTGCTATCAGCTTTATAAAGTCATATAAAATATTTTACATAACTGGAAATAAAATATGTGGGAAGGTAGACTATTAAGAATAATTTGTACATTAGAGCTGGATGGTTGGCTCTTGAGACATTTTCTAAAGTAGGAGTGCCACCTGGCTAAAAGCTACACAAGGATAGTCTGTACAGTCTCTGAAACATTCATTAGGTTGGCTGTGTATGTTTAGTAAAGTAATTCCATTATTTAAAAAGCTTTTGGCTGCCAGTTAATAATCTATAAACAATTCATATACTTCCAATAAAGAATGCGCCAAAGTTGTTGTTGGGCTCATTTGGTTCAGTAAGGGAAGCATGTTTTAATCCATTGTTCTCTTTAACAGATAATTTATAATAAAGCATAATGTGCAGATATACTATGTAATAATGGTTTAATGGAGTTTTTCTAAAATAGCTTGTTTTATAGAGGAAAACTTTCCTAAGTCCCAAATATTAAGATATTTCAGCTCACAGCTATGCACTCCTGATGGTAAGGGTACTGTCTAATTTATAAACAGGAACACACTCATATTTTAATAGCAACTATGTCATATAATTATAATAATTATACTATATATTTAATATAAACTCATAGTCCAGGCCATTTCATTGCTCATAACATTCCTAAGAGATTAGATGTAAGCAAGAAGACGCCTACCTTTCATTTAGATAAATATTCCAAATCAGTGCCCTTTATTGCCCATTCCTAATTCAAAGTTTACTGCTACCTTCTTACCATAACATACGCATCAGCCTTTACTACCACAACATACATGAATCCAGTTCAGATTTTTATGCTTTCCGTAACACAAAAGATACCACCTTTAATTATTAACCATAAACCAATAAGCAAAACTTTAAGTATATTTTTGACCTTGTATGACAGATTGACCCTTCAACAGATTTTAGATAACTTCTGACCAGGAGAGTTTTATAACGCATCGTTACTCAAGTCTCTCTCTGGCTCAGGCTGATAGGACCTTAACAAGACGGTATCTAAATCACCTCGTGTGTATGAGTTCATATAAGTTTCCCAGAACTCATGGTGAACCAATTTGTGCCTTTATGGTTTTTCCTTTTAGTATAATCCCTACTTTTTGTATATGAAGTCAAATACCATTTTAATTTTTACTTTATATGTAATTCATCTAAGGCAGGCCAGAGGACTGTGTTCCAGCTGAAGGAATGTATTGTTCTCTACGCTCTTTTTGAAGAACTGGTTAATATTAGTGAGTAGAAACGTTCCTCCCTTACACTTTAAATAAGATGTACCTCTGAACAAGGAACACGCTATATTAGCACAAAAGCTAAATTACTAACAGCAAAAGTTGCTTATTTTTCCTAATTATAAAATCAGAAGCAAAAACAAGATTAGATAAATGTCCCAGTCAGCAATGTCTGTGATCAAGATGATGGATGTTGAAGTCCAACAAATCTTGGAGCCTTTTCCAAGTAGGGAAAGAATGCCTTTCTCTAAATCTGGGGTAGTTGAAAAAATGTCTAGAACACACCCAGCCAGTTAGTTTTTTTCCATGACTCAGTGCAGAATGGGATCTTTCATTCACTTGACAAGAAAATTGATCATAATTGTATATTGAAGATGGTTGGATTGCAATATTTTATACACTTACCTGAAATTAATTCTGAGTCAATATGCATAACACGGCAGTATCCGGGTCTCGGAAAGGTTAGATCAACTGAATTTAAATGATGAGGCTAGATTTCAATTAAAACTTAGTTGAGGACACAAGAAACTTCATGCTAAGACCAGTTCAACATGAGAATCAATTATCTGGAGGGGCAATAGGTTCTCTCTGATTCAAGATCCAAGGTGGACAGTCAGTCATGTTTTGTAACATATGTCATGAATAACATAACTTCTGTTACCTTCTGTTCCACCAGAAATTGAAAACTCAGGTGAACAAGCAGCCCACAACTCCAGATGGCTTCTCTCTTCCTCCTCTGAATTTGGGGAATGCTGAAACTGGCTACTTGACACAGTCCAATCTACTTGGCATTGCTGGGCGCATAGGAGCTGAATGGAGAACCATTGGTTTAAACCTGGGATTGTCCTATCAGCAGATAGAGCGCATACAGTACAATAACAGGTGAGAAGTGAAAGGACCAAAATTAATACAGGACTTGGAGCATTGATAATCCAGCTGCCTACATCCCCATCCGTATCTAGTATGATGATTTTTTTTTTCTTTTTCCTTGGAATTGCTGTACCATTCAGGAATCCTATATGTTTGTTTCTTGTTTATTATTTATGACATTTGTCTGAATGCCAGATACCAACTAAACTTTACATGGCATTACTCCAGGTACCTCTTTACTCACTTTATTTCCCAGAGCTCTTCAGTAAACTAAGGGGCTACACGGGTCAGCTGGCAGAGAAAGGCTGCTCAGGGATGATCCAGTCAAGTATCCTGGTTTCCTTTGTATTCCAGTAGTCAACAAGGCACCCCACAGAAATGCTCTCCAGATTGCTGGGAAGCTCCCCAAGGATCACCAGGAAACCTGCTGGATCTATTACTGTTCCTCACTGCATGGACTCAATACCTTCATTTGATGGAAGAAATATTGTAATGGTTGAATGGAAGAATAACCCCAGTTCTTGTACCCCAAAAGTGTATGATGAATACATTTAACAATTAGTTTTAACATTTCACCTAAATAATGTATTTGATTTATTTAATTAAAAAAACACCTTGCATAGTTCTCTAGCTTGTGTATGTAATTTAAAATGAGGTGCAGACCTGAACATCCACTACTTTGGATGCTTAGAAACCAGAGTTTATAATTTATGCCAAATCTTGGGTACAAAAAGGATGCTAGGGCTCTTTCAAGTCCACATGGCATGGTAAACAGCAAACCTGACTTAAAGAGCTAACATGGTGGCATGCATGCAATTGTTAACCAATCCTTGCAGTTAATATTTCATGCAAGTACAACCTGTGGGATTTACATGCCCCCCATAAGCACTAGTATTGTAGCTTCCTTGCCCCTTGGATGCTGCTGGATTTAGCATAAGAATAAGTTTAGGTTGCTCTACTACCTTTGTCCTCATGTCATAAGGATGCTTTTCCTATCCAGAAAACATTAGAGTGGATTGCTGCTGAAATTAATGAGCTGTTGCTTATTACTTTTTCACATGCAATCATTTTATGCCTTATTATCTAAATTGCCTGGAACATATTGAAAGATATGATATTGATGCTTAAAGTGAATGGGACTTCCCTAGGATGGTTATTTGTGATGCAAACCTATTTCTTCACTGTTGTCTTTTTCTCCCTAGGGAAGATCTCCATACTCAGATCCTAGATATGCTCTTCTCCTGGGCTCAGCAAAATGAAAAGAACCCAAACTGCGTAGACAAGCTGATTACAGCCATGGAGGATAGTGGCCGCCAAGACATAGCTGATGAGATCACTGCCATTATTGGACTGGGAAGGCAGAAATATACTGAGTCCATCCGGAGGGTGGGCCTGGACCGGAAAAGTAGCACAGAAGATTCTGCTATTGTTTTGGGATAATTGCTGACAAAGGAATGTCACCTTTTTACCTTGAATGCTGAGACTGCACAAAAACCTAACAGCTGAGGTGTTTCTGGCCATTACAAGAGCTAAGGCCATTGATATTAAGTTTCTAGTCCTTCATACGATGTAGAAATGCTTGAGCTTTCATTGAGCTCCCACACACTCATACTTGGGGCTCCTGGAATGGAAATGGCTGACTGAGACTCTGGATGGTGCACTGAAGTTCTAGGAAGCTGTGAAATACAATCATGCTGAATTCTAAGTGTTGCTGTATTGGTGGCATTAATCTATAATAACACTATCTCTGTAAGGGGAAAAAAATTGTAATATAGTGCCAAGACAAAGGAATAGAGTTGTTTGTCAGAGAAGGACTGGACTAAAATGCTCTTGTATTCTGTCCTGGTACATGAGTTCAGATGTCTTTGAGCCTCTGAGTTTACAATGTGAGAAACACACAGCTCTTCTCTGGTATCAGATTTACCCTGAATCCTTTGGGCTGTGGATTTACTTCTTCACGTCTCTCTTGGCTTTAGAAAAGGAGTTGGAGCTACTATCATGCTTTCTAAACCTCACCCTTTAATTAGCATTATCCAGTTCACACACGATGCTAAGCCATAATGTAATTTGTTCAGTTTTGTTGGAAACCAGAATGTGTAGATTAGTGTTTTGTATTAATCCAACCAATTATGGATTAGTCAGATAACCAGGATTAATCAAATCCAGGCTATTTCTTCTTCAAGAATTGGTACTGTCCAATTCTTCTCTTTAGGGGGACGCGGTGGCGCAGCGGCTTAATGACGCTGAAAGTTGCCGGCCAGAAATG